CAAGATACACACAATTTCCGGGCAATCGCTATAACGCATCATATGGCGGGTAAATGCCAAGAATTCGATCTTGGAATCCGTTTCAGGTGGAATCGAACGGATTCAGTCACCGGATCCGTTCAGCGAGAATATTGTTTCCATGAAATTTGCGGAATACTACGGAACTAGCCGTTTCCGTGTCGGCTTGTTCGATCTGGGTTGATCGATATGAGAAGTAGTAAAAATAATAAAATATGTCATCATTATAATAAATATATTATTTTCTAGATGAAGGAGAAATTGATAAATCAACTGAAAATAAAGGTAAATTAAATAAAAAAATGTTATATCATTGATTTGTTTTTTTAGATACTGTATTTGCTGCACAACCCACTACTGTTACACTAAATTGGAATTTATTAAATAATTTAATAAAACAAGAGAAGTATGTTGTTTTTTTTAATATTTTGTTAGTTCGATATATTTTACATCATTTCTTGTCTTTTTTAGTGAATTAACAAGAAAAAATATCGAGATGATTAAATTTAATACAAATTTATCGAAAGCAGAAATTACTGAATGGCATAATAATCTTTTACGCAACTGGTAAATAAACATATTTTTTTCAATTTCTTTTAATATAAAGCTTTTCTTGTTTTAGTGCAAATAATGAACTCTCAATAGATGAATTTGTTGAAAATTTTGAAGCTTTATATTCAAATGGCAACGCAAATAATTTTAGCAAAAATGTATTTCGTGTATTTGATCGAAAGAATAGTGGCACTAGTAAGAATAAATTTATCCAATATTCTTAATTAAATTTTCTTTTTCTTTACTTAAGTTAAAATATGGGAATTTTAGGCTAGCAATTGGATTGATTCAATTGAAAGATCCATATCTCCGTTTTAGTATTGCATTCGATCTATATGATCACAATTGTACTGATATAAGTAACAATATTTTTTAATTCATTTTCTTTATCTTTGAAAAAACAATATTTTTAATTCCAGTCGATGTTAATAAACTGGTTCAAGCTATATCTGTAAGTTTAATAATTAAATTTAATTGAAAATAATGTCTTTTTATTTATCAGACTTTGTATGATTTTAATGGTGTAGTTGATCGTAAAGGTAAAATATTTTTAATGAAAAAAAAAATAATTAAATAAATATTTCTCTTATTATACCTACGGGATCGTGATCCAAGTACCCAGGTGAAAGAATACGGTGTCGTAAACGGCATCAAACGGTAAAAAAACGGCGAAAAACGATCACCTTGTGGCTATCGTTTACGGTGAACCGTTATTTACCGTAAACGACCTGAAACGGCGCCGTTTCGTGCACGAATCTAGCCGTTTTTCAGCCGTTCCATGTCTAAAACGGTGCCGGAAACGGCGTTCGGAATCATCCACCTGGACAATAGGTGGTGATGTATATCACATGTTAATTAGAACTAATGCAAAATAAAACGATTAATGAAACAATGGCATATATGAAAGGCGAAAAAACTAATGAATTAAATGAAATCTTAATTTAACAGAAAAAAGGGGAAAGTAATTATTTTCATTTATAGATTATCTAGAATAATTTGTTTTTATATTAGGTAGTACTTGGTATGACAACAAATTGTCACCAATTAAAATCGTAAGTAAATTGCCTGTTATATATTTTGATATATATATATTTCTAAATTTACTTATTTATTTTAGATGCATCATCATCAGGTGAACCATTACCAGATTTTATGAATGAAAAAAATTTTAAAATTTTAATTAATGCTGATGATAAGTACTTAAGGCAAAGGCAACGGCGATGTAAACGACCTTAAATGTGGCAAACTAGTAAAATACGGCGAATCTGCGTTTTGGTATCGCTTTCGATTTACATGATCCAAAGTGTACTGATGAAAGTAACAATATTTTTTACTTTATTTCATTTATCTTTTAAAAAAAATTATTTTGAATGTTAGTGGACGTTAATGGTATAGCCCAAGCAATCACAATAAGTTTAATAATCAACTTTAATTATAAATAATGCTTTTTTTATTTATCAGACTTTATATGATGTTATTGGTAAAATGAATCGTGAAGGTAAAATAATTTTAATTAAAAAAAATAATTAAATAAATATTTCTTTTATTATATTTAGGTGTTAATGATCCAAAATATCGTGCTGAAGAAATTTTTCTTATGGGTGATGCATCTGATAACAAAATAACACGAAAGGAAGTGAGTTTGATAAAAAACGTAAACTATTAAAATAAGAATATTTTTCTTTAGTTTATATTTGCATGTAAAGATGAGCCAGTTCTTTGTCGTTTACGTGTTCAAGATGTTTGATTGAACAAATATGGTTAGTTAAAATAGTTTCTTTTTTTGTCTCAGCTTTTCACATATATGTGATATTATTATGTTGTGATTGCTCAGTTTTCTGTTCATTAACTGTTTTACTTTATCTATAGTTAATATACTTTTTGTCTCAACAGATTCAGAATAACATAACTTTCTTATTGTCTCGAAAAGTAAAATTTAATTTGCAACACTTTCTTTCTCATCACAATATTATTCTACTAATCAATTGTTATGCTACACGTTTATTTGAGGGTGAGTGTGAGTGTCTTTTCCTTAATTAAATATCTGCAGCCGCACCCATACCTATACCCGCATCTTCTGGAAAAGCTTTCTTGCATCCCTCCCCTCTAATTGTTTTTTCTTTGTATCACATCCCTGTATAGACGGAAAATGCTTTCCCTCATTGTTTTCACACTCAAAAACAATTGAAAGTTAAAATTTTATATGTATAAATCACACAAACATTTCAGAAATATATTTTAAAAAAAATACAGTAAAAATAACATTTCTTCATTCATATTATAATTAATGTTTGTATAAATATAAGCTTTATTTATCTTTTTTAACTCGAAATACTCTTCTCAATCCTTTTGACATCATGACGTGATGATTTGGGTTATCATCTTTCATTTTCATATCTTCCAATGCACAAATAAATAATGTATCAACAGCCATTGAATAAACTGAAAAGAAACATGATGCAACAATATAAGTACCAAGTATAATTAATAATAATGGAATAAAATAATAATGTAATTCAGGAACATAATTAGCTGCTTGTGCAATACGATGAGTAAAAAAGAAGAATGCAAGTATACCAATACCAGCTGTTATACATAATTTACCAAGAAATATAAGAAAATCACATGTTTTATCAATGACAAGTAAACGAAGTGGATTTGAAATAATTATACCAAAAGCTCGACGTGCTGATGTTAAAAATCCTGAACCATAGATAGCTGTAATAATATAAGCATTTCTATTAAGAAATTTTAAAAATTTCTCTAAACATAATAAACAACATCGACAACAACAAAATAAACATTTAGCAACTTTTCCTGTTTTATCTTTCACTTTTTTTTCAAAATATTCTAATATTGTACGAATAACTTTAACAATGGCAATTATTAATGAACCAAATGCTATTGTACCCATATGAAATACAAGTGCACGAATTAGAGATGAAAATAAAGATGAACATGGAACACCAAAACGTTCACGATCCCAATAATAACGTGCATAAACACCAGCTAATATATAAATTAAATTTCAAAATCTATCAAAAAAACAAAATTTAATAAACTTACCAAGAACTAATTCACCGAATCCAACAATAAAAGCAGTTAACCAAAATAACATAAAAGCAGAATATAATTGTGGAAGCCATTGATTTTGATTAACAAAAGAAATAAATGATTTAAAATGACGACCAGTACCTTAATATATAATAATAAAAATAAGATAATTTTAAAGAATTTCTCATACCATTGAGTACACTATCCAAATTAATTTGTGGATCGTATCCATATTCCCAAAAAACACAATCACCATTCATTCCACCACTACTATTCCATGTAGATCTATCGCATATTTCGCCAACATGTGTATTACTTGAATTGTCTAATGTTTCATTAAATGATACTCGATAAATTGGTTTTCCTGCAGTTGCTAAATAAACTGCTACAACAGCCCAATAAGCAAATATACCGATTTGTAATAGAAATGGTATAAATGGCCAGAACAAACTAAAAAAATTATATCCAACAGCTTTTGATGCTTCTTGAAGAACAGCTAAAGCTATTCGTAAACGTTTAAATAATGCAAGAAGTATAAGAACTGATATAATTAAAAATAGTGTAGAAATAATAGCAATAACCAACCATGTTATTGGTAAACTTCGATAATAATTTGCATCAGCAACAAATTTAAATTCAGATAAAATTTGATTATCATTTTTTGAACGAAGTTGAATAAATTCAAAAAATGATAGACCACTAACAATAGCTAATAATACAATAAAAAGTATAATTGCTAACCATACAAGTGGTTTAGCAAACCAACGCATTAATACAATCCATACAAACTAAAATAGAATATTCTTCTTCTTTTTTTTTGAATTTTAAATTTTTTCTTTTTTTTATACCGATATAATTGCAGCAAAACCTAAAGCAATTAAAATATATTGCCATGATGTTGTAAAATCTTCAACAAGAAATGAAGCAATTTCTTTTAAATTCAATATATCAACAAGATATTTAACACCCTATTAAAAATAATATTTAATCGAATTTATTTATTTATCTATGAAAAAAAAATTACCTGATCAAGTTTTGATCCATTTAGTGGTAGGCCGCTGGTATCATAAATAGTTTTATTAGTTCCATTGGTATCAGGAGCCTAAATAAATAAATTTATATTCTCATTTTTTTCGAATAAAAATCTTAATCTAACTTCGATTAGTGAACTAGCTAAATTCTGTAAATGTTCAGGAATACATCGACCAAATAATGGTTTACTAGCAATAATATATGTTGCACATTCACCACTTTTAACTAATTCCTCATCATTCGAATCATCATCACGAACATCATATGTACAAACTCGATTGGCATGATAATTGTCAAATTTAAAATGAGATGTTTTAGTTGGACAATTTTTTACACAAACTTGTTTTGTCGGACAAACAAATGGACGACCTTTCAATACATCTGATGATATACCAAAAGCTTTTATACATTTAGTCCAGTCAAAAAAATAAAGATATGGTCGATCAGCATGTTGACCACTACCACATAATTCACCATCACTATCTGTTGGATGTAATAATTGCTTTGGATCACCTATGTATATATATATATTTATTAAAATAACTTGCAAATATTTTTCATAAATAAATACCTTC